GAATGTAGTCGGTCTTGTCCAAGACAACTGTAGAACGCCCTTTGTCTGCTGGCAGTACCACAATGCTCGTGTCGGCCCTCAGTTTCTTGAGGGCATCCTGTTCCGTTCTGGTGATATTTGCGCGTGGTTTGTGGGCCATCACAGATATATAAAACTGGTTTAGAAGGCTACCACATCCCCTCTGAAATTATCGTACTAAAATCCAACTGCAAATCAAGTATTAAATAGGGTTTCCCAGTGTTAGCATCAAATTCTGCTCGTTATCAGCTAGTTCGAGAAGACGATTTTTAAACCGAGGTTTTTTTATGAACAGTGCATATTTGGTTTTGTATATCACAGACAAGTGGACATAGCATCCAATGAAACATCCCTATTGTCTAAGTACGCATAGCTAGATCTAGACCAACCAGGAAGCCAGCGGCCTGGTTTAACGTCTATACGGTTAAGTCACGAATGTCTAGTGCAGCCCCTGAAGTAAGTAGAAAGAGAAGGTGCACTGACGGGGCAGACTTGCACCGATTAAGTGCACCCAACGCCTACGCGCCTAACCAACTCACGTGGTAGCCGCGTGGAACGCGATATGGGAGGCCCCCCCTGCGATCAAATTCAACCGGCTGTTTCGTAAAGGCGGGGGGGGGGGGTTGGGGGTAGTAGTCTGTTAACACGACTGAAGCAGTGGATGGAGTATCGGTAGACACCCTAACGGAGCGGCAGTTGTCCTTTCATACACGATCGCACCAGAAAATGCAGGAGGTCTGGAGTAAAAAGACCCGAGGATGCAGGAAAACCGAGGAAAGGGAGATCCGCGCCAATCAACCTAGGATAGTACGTATGCAATTAATCTGATGCAGGTAATACTGTGCGCGCATGCAATTAGAAGCATAATTGGAAACGTGTTGAATCGCAATCCGCAAAGGATAAATCTTTCGCCTTTTTCTAATGATTTCCGTGTGGGGGGTGCAATGCAATGAGTCCATATAGACAGTCTTGCAGCGCCTCGTTCTCGGGGTGGTTAAAGTGAAGGAGAAAGTCATCCTGACAGAGCCTCTACGCCAATTCAAGCAAACATAGCTGGAGTACCCAGTCGTAGTAATGTAGCAAGCGCGCTAACTGGCCGATGAGCGGAAATGTGAACGTGAGCAATGACATGAAGAACTTTACAGCATAACCGCCCTTCCGTCGCCCAATTGGCAGCTGTGAGTATATGCGGGAGGTATGGTAATGACAACACAGCAGCAGACAAGGTATCCCAAAGCGAGGTCGAATACATTACACCCCCGCGCGGCCGACACGTCTGAAACATGTAACCTAATACAGGCACGCCTACTGATAAGAAGCAAGTACGTCAACAATGTTGACTCATAATCTCAGGCTACTCGCATTTGTCTCGCCGAAGCTAGCTTTTTAAACATAGCTACTATCTTGTGCAAAACGCTAGGTTTATGCACCAAACCGTTTATTAGTATGTTGCACATTTCAGTTTTCCCGATGCCAAGAGTACATTTTTAAATCCTTCACCAAAATAGATACCAACACCAAGTTAACGTTTTCGAAAAACGTAATAGTGTGTGGGACATCACTGCTCCTCTTTGGATCCGGGAGTTGTGATGGTCATTGATGCTAGGAATATACATAAAAATTTCATTCGTTGTGCCACGCAGTCTCAAAGGTAATGTTTTGTCACAACTGCCTAGTCAAACTAAATGCTTTGAACCAAAAACTGCATGACATTCTGTCTGCCGATATCATGCACTCTAAAGATTCACGGCTTCTCCTCACTGCAACGCCCAATGAAAATAAGAAAATGCAACTAACAGAAGGAAAACGTCCATAACATCTTAAATAAATAGTGATTTTGGGGTTCTAAAACTCCCGCCTTAGTGATGTACCGTGTGTTTCACGTGCCTCAAGTTCATCTGCAAACTACTTAATGAATCCCAGTCGCTGGAGCAGTAAAAATCGATTTTTGTAATAACGAATTCAGGGTATGTGCATGCAGTGGTGCGAGTAATATGGCTAGGGTCTCGGGGACACATTCTACACGCGAAATTCTCCGCCGCGTTCTCGGTTCCTAATCTCTTTATCGTGCTTCCTCTGGTCCATCCAGCTCCTCCTAGCTGATGTTCCTGAGTAGTCCTAAACGTTAAATAACTCTTGAAGTATCTAAAACCCGTCCCGATTAACGACTGCTGCGTTGTCACGAGTTTTGACGCGCCGTTATAGATAGCGTATGCAGCATCTTCTGTGTTGTAATCGGTAGCTGCTGTTGTAGCTAAGTATCTCCGCTATCTTGATCGGTTAACTGTAGGCTGACGCGTCACATCAGGTTTGAGATAGACGAGAACGTCTTTTATTTATCATGACTCCATAAATGAGTTCAATTAAAATTCATGCTAATCGTTTATATCTTGGCTAGTGATGGCACTGTCGTGAACGTGTCGCGGCAGAATCCTGGACATTTACTCATAGATAATCCATATTTCGAAGACTGTCTCAGTAAAAGATGAAGGAATTTTTGGACCTGCTGCGGTGCCGTTAATTCGCTGGTGTGTGGTTCCATCGAAATTAAATAACGCCTCGAGGCAGTGCCCCGCCAGCGCTGTGAGGTCCTGAGCTGCGGATTTGTCGCCGTTCTCTTTAATGCTTTGCCGTCACAGGCCACTGACGGTTTCGACTGCGAGGGTTTATGGCAGGAACTCGAAGATGGAGGTGGCGTGGAGTGACATCATCCTCTCCTTCTGTTCGACTGCAACTAAATTTATTTGTACAATACTCGACCTGCTAGGTGAATCAGTTTGCGAGCCCCAGGTCGCGCAATCAGCACATGCAACAGTCGGTTTGAAGGGCCTACGTGGGCGTGCCTCGGTGTCCTGCGACTTGTTACAGAGGGCGGGAACATCTGATTTGCGCACTTTTAGAAGGCCATTGGATCGCGCCTTAGCTGTTGCTGTGGCTAGGTGGGTGGTACACTCGCACCTAACAACGTCAGTTTGCCGAATTACTGGTCCTGTAGGATTCTCTATCGTCTAGTAATACCAGGACGTTGCATCCATGTCTGCGCTGTACACGACAGAAATAGAAAGTCTAGGCTCAGCAGGCTAGTTCGGTGTCTAGTATTGAGTCCTGCGGACAGGACACGTGATTGGTGACAGAAACGCGCGCATGTTACTTGCAGGTAAGTTTGCAGTATGATGTTGAAAATGACGAAGCGCACACATCATAAGCGGCTGAGTTGAAATTAGATTTTCGACTATGTTGCAATCTAGGAGAACATAGAGCCGATGAAATAATATCGTTATGGCTTTTTGTATGACTTAACTCACGAAGTATTTTAAGGAGTTCTAAGAGCGACCAAACGTATAGGCTAGATGCGTATAGAAGACCAGCAGAATGTGAATTGTGGAACAAAGAGACGTCCTCGCCTTCCGAACTGTTTTATCATCAAAAAAGCTAACATTGAATTTTGGCCGGAGGGATTCCGAAGAAACGGTATTCGCACATGTTCTTCGTTTTCAAACGTTAAGCGGAACTCCGACTAATAACTTCAGACTTAAAAAAATAACTCGGAAATGAACGGGAGGCACAACCAGCGACTAAGCATGCGTGCATGGATAACATACGGGAATTGAGTACAGTTAAAAACTATTAGTTCTACATTATTACAGCATCATAACGGCTAAAGAGAGCATTCGGCGTGTCCCTTACTGATTGTGCCTATCAGAGGCACTTACCTTTTTAAACATGGCCACAAAACCCTTCTTATTCAACACCTTGTCCGTGATGAAGTGCAGGGTCATCGTGTTACCTGTCGACATTATGGGCTCTGGGGTGCTAGGTCCGCATAACTTTTTCAGCATTTTTGAAGATGTCGAGGGGCCGTCGTATACTTCCAAGTAATCATTGCTGCAGTTTTCATGGCTTTCCACCTTAAAAGTAAAACAAATTACAGCATGTAAATACTGTCAGGAAATAAGACACTTTGAGTGAAAATGTGTTACTAAGAGACCGACGCAGTCTACTATTTAGACTGCTCTGACATAACTTTATTTACATAAACGAGGTTACCTAATTGCTAGAAAAGGCTTTTAGTACTTTGACAGATACTTGAGCTCTTTAGGAGCCGTAGCATTAATTTATGCCAGGATATTGGTCGGACAAGGGAATATGACTCCCCCCGCCTAGTACTGCATGTGGCCTTACGCTAAATTCCAAATGGATCATATTCCCATGTCCCAACTTTGATCGTGGCCCTAACACTTATCCTAACCCTAACCCAATCGATAATCTTAATCCTAACGTCAATCTCCATAACACCAACCCAACTTTGACTCCCCTGGGACCTGCGGCAAGACCACTTATAATATCGGGTGTTGCATATTCCAGTGCCCAACCCATGGGAAGTAAAGACTGGAACCTACTCCGCTTGTCTCCTTATCTCGAAGCACAGAGATGAAGCACTAAAGGTTAACAGTAACAGTAATGTGGTGAGCTCTGCAAAGGTACGCCACCAGGTCAGCAACCGTCTGGTTTCAGAATGCAATGGAATCTGTAAATGACTCTGTCCAACTGGCAATCAATTTGCCAGCAAAAAGGACAAAACGGCGGAGCGTCGAGGCATTTAGCAGGTCCACAGTAATAACGCCACGACTTCATCCCATGTAAGAAGCGCACGAAGGGCAGAATTGCAAGGTTTTTTATCGGAAATTTATTCAGCGTTCTCTGATGCTCCACGTTGGTCACTTACTCCCTATTCGCCATGACTATATATATACATAGGAAGTTGGGCATCCTAAGAAACATAATTCGAAGAAAAATGAGTTCATTTGGAATCTAGACAAACTTTATTTCGTAAGTGCTCGACGCTGGTTCGCCATGTCGTTGTTAGACATGTTGTAAGTGTGCAAAAATAGTAAAAATTTAAACATGTCCGAAAAATCGATATTGCTTTGTCAGTGCTGAGGATGGGCCAATGTCACCTTTTGATTGGCTATCACCTTTTTCACTTTCTTTGAGTTTTGTGTACATGGCGTCAAGATCGATGCGTCCATTGACGCATGAATCTGCATAGTGAATGTCCTCCAGGAATTCTCGGCCTTTCTTTTATAGGCAGGAACCGACAATGCGTGTTTTATCCTAAGCAAATTTGTGCCCAGCTTCAATAGTATGCATGTCGACTTGGGATAAGTGGTTCCGCCTCTTTACTGCCAGTTGGTATTCATGTAGATATGTAGGGGCGGATTTTCCGGTTTGACCTAACTATGTGCAGTGAGTGGCCGGTATCACGAAATGATGTCCTAAATTCTAAAATACGTTTTCGATTTGGAAGTATTACTTATGTGAGGTTGTAAGACTGTTATCATGCTGGATAATCCAGTAATATTTCGGATTCGGCAGGATGTCGGCTTTTGAATGCACTTCTCTCCGATCTCCTGCAGAAACCACAGTCGGTAAAAAATGGCTTCTTAGGTAGCATGCATTTTCGCATTGATTTTTGATGGTCATTTAAATTAAAATATATTTTTAATAGAAAACATAAATAAAAATATGCTTTCTTATACTCCTTTGGTGGTAAATCACGCCGGCTTTACATTCTATGTTTGAAGACAGGGTATATTTAGGTTTTAAAAAGTTTTTAATTGTACGATTATTCAGACTGTGCAATGTACATTCATACAGCATCCTGCCTGTCTGTTTACCAGTGCTCTTTATGAAATGTGTAACCTAGTCCGCACTCATAGCAAAATTTCACGAGCTCCAAATGGACTCTTCTTAATGGCATAGGACAATAAATGATTTTCCTTACGCAAGCAGCATGCGCCTTGTAGACTGAAATCGCTAAACGCTAAAACAACGGCTGATTTAGCTCAAATTTATTCGGAAATTGGAAAACATATGAAGCATTCGGTAGCCTGGGCGGAACTTAGAATCGCAACAGAAACTGCAAGACTCCGCCATAGCCAAACGCTCCAACAGCCACACCGTAGTCAATCAAGGACTCGAATGCCACACAAAAACATTGTTTTCTCAGTAAATGCTAGCCGTCTAGAGGATAGAGAAGTATGGTATTGATCTTTGTTCTTTTGGCTCTTTGTTTATTTTAAGACTTTTGTTCGTTAGCTCAAATTCGTTAAAGATGTAGGACATTCTCCCAGATATCCCCTTATCACCTAATGCTAAACGGTATTTACCATAACAGCTCTTCTTCACGAGTAAGTGTGTGCATTTAGAGTGAAGATCTGACGTTCCTCGGAAGAACAGGGGAGTTCGAAACTACACCGTTATTGCATTAACGTTTCGGAAACTTCCACGTTTCTATAATCAAAGTGGTGAGGTGGTTGTTGCTGCAACTGCTGGCTTTGAGTTGTTCAGCGCCGCCGCCTGTTACTTGTTATATCCGCACCCGACAAACGAACTTCAACCCGCCTTTTAGTCGGCATTAGCTTCGGCTCCACAACGACTGAGGACTGACCAACCATCATGACACCCGTCCTTTTCACGGCTGTCGTGATTGCAGCAAAATCAAAGTGACCGTTGATTCCTCTCTCGTAACTGGTTGAACTTACCAGCTGTCGCTGCGCGTGAGTGGTAACTCTGGTTTTTTGGACACGCCGATGAGCAGATGTTTCACGTTGGTCGTGTGACCTCTGGTCGGTTCCCCCCACCTTCCGTGAGGGTGTCAACTGTTGGACCAGCTGGAATTTGCTCGCTTGTTCTGTGAATCCTGTCTAGACATATTTGCACCGTTGTGCTTGCCACTTGGTGGACGGGATGCAGGTCAATAACTCGGTTACGTTTGCCGACCGAGGCCCAGCTTTTAAGTACGGGTCTGGCCATCTTCTTACTGACTCGATCGAAGACGTCCGCCTCCTCAAAGACGCGTCCGGCTTCTCATGTCGTATATGACCAACTATGAAAGACAGTTCACCTTTACAGTTGACTGTAACCTTTTACTCGTGCAATATTTTGTCAAGGCGTTTGCCCATTTTCTCAAAATACTTCGCATTACAATTTCCGCATGGTATGCTGCAGACGACTTCTTCGAGTATTACATATGTGGGGAAATTGAATGCATGCGTTGGAAGAAGTTTCCCACCAAGTATCTCTTGATGACAACACAAGCGTCATCGACATCCTGTTATAGACTTGCGCACGTCGGATTCACTTCAGGAAGGAATGCGCTGATTGGCCACGCGGGTGGACTACTACTACTCCTCCTCATTCTCCTCAAACTCTCTCCATTCTTGCAACAGCTGTTGGCTGTTCGAATTTGACAGTCAACCGCTAATGCAATTGGGCGCAGCGGCTGAGGTCTCCCTTACCATTTTCGTCCCAGTACACTCCGTAGACACAAGCTGTAGCACTCGTCTGTTGCTCCGATGAAGGACACTCTATGGTGGCTTTCGCAAGTAACGCTTTCTTCGTCCTGTATCTTGATTTACAGTAACAGCAAAAGGTGTGTTTAGGTGATTTGCAAAGGGACCCTCCCAGGAGAAACGCAAGCAAGTATGCACAGTTTCATTGTTGACGACGGCTGTCAGCAAAAATTACTCTAACACTTCGCTTTTATCGCTGATGGACGTGCTGTTAGTCGGATTTGTAAGTGCACGTACCTTTAAGCAGTCAGATTAGTGATCACTATGATACTTACCTCAAAACTGTTGAATGTGAGGTTAACGGTGTGGCCATCGGGAACTTCAATATTCCATGTACATTCACTGCTCGGAGGATATATTTTCGGATAACCAGGACTCATAATCGTGCCTTCTTCTCCTTTAAAGTACTTACGGCAGGGAACCTCTATAGGGTGGGGAGGGGAAGGTAATGAAATCACTAGTTTTAGGCATTTCATTTCAACACTGGCCGCGTGTAGGAAACGCAATGACAGAAACTGGAAATATAAGCCTAAAAGTCGCCTATCTTTTAATCTGTTTTGAGGACAAATGTCCTCCTTCCGACTTAGGTGCTTGGGTCTTAAATGGCAGGATATTTGAAAATCCATTATGGAGAAGAGAATTTTGGTTTGGAGACGCTAGGTGTCACATCACTAAGCAAGACCACTGACATGTCGCTCCCAGACTGAACTGAACACTTAAAAATCAAAAAGGACTTGCGTACACGGATAAAGTCCAAAAGTAAATCAAATATCATCTGTGAGGCCCGCCTACTACTCTAGAGCTGCTTACCAGCACACGACAGTTCGACCGGCAAGGCAGCCACTGGGAACTGCGCGTGGATCAGTTTATAGTGAGTATAGACTTTCGGAGCATCTACCGCATTCTCTCCTTCTCTCCCACCTGGGCCCGGTATCGAGACACAGTCAAGAAGACCGGAGATGGGAGAGGGCACAGTTGACTTGCACGAACGAGCCTGCATCTAGGCGTACCATCACATCCCCTGGCCCACAACAAACACACACCTAACCATGATTTTAACCAACAACAAAGTAGACGGGTCAGAAAGGACAGGATGATTGGGCAAACATGCACGTAATCTGTTTATTCAGCGGGAGCGCGCGCGAATCTACCGGCAGGGAACCAGGTGCGAGAGAACTGTCAGCGTACACCGGGCGGCGAGGGCCATAGATTGCTGGACATGACATAGCAGCTGCTCACAATCCCCAAGGCTTGGAAGGGTGACACGCAGCCCTGAGCGATGCCACTTCGAAGGGCGGGTAGCTAGTCAGTCATCCACCGTAGTTACCGATGATGTCTGCTTTGCGTCTCACAGTATATTGAACGCCGGGACGGCGAATATCACGTGAAATAGTTTATAATGATAGTAGAGTTGCGTCCTATCTATTGCTCTCTATCTCTTTCCTCTTTGGGACATCTAAACCTGATGTTTAGTCAGGGTTAAGAAGACTTGGGGGCGGGGGGGGGGGTTTGGGCGGGACTGCAAATAGTGGCTGACAAACTTGAGGAACCCGCCCGCACGTGCCATGCACGCGACACAATCCAACAAACAACACACACACAGACGGTATAAGTTCCTATTGGTGCAAATCGAGAGAACTCACCCTTCTCGAATTTGGCCAAGAATCCCTGTCTTTCAATTGAATTATTGGCGACGAAATGCACAGTCATCGTGTTATTTGTCGATCTTACGGGCGCTTGCATACCATCTCCACAGAGCCGACGTATCACGGGGGAAGATGTCGAGAGACCATCGTGTATCTCCAAGTAATCCTGACTGCAGTCTGTTCCCTCCCCAATCTGAGGAATATGAAATTCGATGATAAATAATCACAATCTGCAGATGAAAATTTTAAAATTTTACCTCGCAGTTTAGTATTTCGATTAACATGTATTATTACTCAGAGATTGCAAGATGATCGAAATTGTGCAGCTTTAAATGTCACCAAATTCAGCTTGGTGTTTTAAAATGAATGTCAACATAGGACGAAATAACGGGTTTATCAAGAAGTGTTACACACTAATACAAAAGCAGCTCGATTTTTGCATTCGTCGGGAAGTTGTTAAGAAGGTTAAGAAGCTTATTCGACGGCCTCAAACAAACACAATTTCCTGATTGGGCACGGGAATATGGACCCCTGTCCGTGCGCAAATCCCCGAGTAGGGGGGGGGGAGCAGATTAGCGTTGCGTGTTATGGTTAGGTAATGCGGTGTGTGTATCAGAGCTATGGTATGTGTCAGGTTTTGTCTTAGCATTAAAGCTAGAACGCGGAAACAGGTACCCCGGAAGTTAGGCGCGAGGCCACCTATATTACGGGAAGGAGGTCCATCTCCTCGTGTCCGGGCAATTTCCTAGTCCACTAGCTTGATAGCCCAACTGATGCTTAATATATGGAGATGAGACTCTGAGGTGTGCATATGTAGAAACATAGCGAGCATGCCATATATTTCCCTGTTCAACGACAACCAAGACTTAGTCGTCTCCGGAAATACTTTCGTCAAAGTGGCGTCCAAATCACCACAGCCTATACAAAGTTAGAGAAGTCCTGATGAATCTAGCAACTCAAACACCATTAGAGGACGTTTTTCATTTTGGATCGGGCCAAATCACCGCAACCTAAAAGATGTTAGATAATCACTGATGCTTCTAGCAACTCAAACCCTGTTGAAAGGCTTTTGTAATGTTCTATGGGACCGTGCATGATGAACTAGTCAAATACATGATAATGGGGCCAACAATTTCCAGGACCGTCATCCGTGAGTGGGAGGTGGCTGTGGATAACCTTTTTCACATTAGGTCGCAAAGCCATCGGCAGTGCTCTCACGCTGGCCTCGTCAGGGGCAGCATGAATGTCGTGGATCGAAAGCAAAGGAGGCCTTGCTGTAACTATGAGCGGGTGATGTACAAAGAGACCAATCCCACTTCCGAACACCCGAAGTTCCGCGTATGACTCATCCAACGCTGATTTCGCTATTTAAACTATATGTGTCGGATTAAGAGGATGACATGCTTTGCCCATTTTCTCTGCTATAAATTTTTTTCCATTATGCTCGTGGTCATAGGCACCGAAATCTCACTTCAAAAATATGTTATTCAGACTCCAAATAGGAGTTCCTAGCGCTATAAATTGGTCAAAGTCCTGGTTATTCTCTATAAGTATACAGATCGTAATCAAGGACAGGTTTAACCACTTATTGGTGGATAATTTGATTGCATGAGTCGAGACGACTGAGAGCACGTTATGCCCATTCAGTGATGAGTACGAACAACCACCTGGGACAGAGGTCCACTTATAGAACATCATACCCCAGAGTCGGACTTTTACGCTGAAACACGCCTCTAGGTGTCGAAATAAATCATGTCACTATGTTGCATGTCTTTCCTTCCTTCTGCGCGCCTTTTTCATTCTCACGAGGATCAGGATTACCACTCTCCTCAGACTCCATTTATCACGCCTTAACGCAACTCGTAAATCAAGGTTATGCTAACAAGCGCGTATTTTGGTAGTTAACTATCATGGACTGGATGCAAGAAGGTGCTGAATGGGATTATTGAGTGAACTTCCCGATTTCTTCGTGCTTGATGACAGCTCGACCAGTGATCGCGCCTTTTACTTCTTTGCAACAAGAACCTGGAATGCGCATATTCTCCTCCATTCATAAACAGTTAATGTTCCGGAAAAGGTCATTTTTGGCGCGACTGATTGGCATTCACTCTTGTTACAGTAGGAAGCAGTAATCGCATTGGGTACACTTGTACTTACCCTAAAACTGTGGAATGACAGGAAAACGTCGAATCCTGTGGGCACTTCAATCGTCCAAGTGCATTCTTTGTGCGGCAGGTAGTTACTCTCGTAAGATGGACTGACAATGTACTCACTATCCCCTTTGAAGTGCGTGCCGCAAACAACTGGTATGGGAAAACAAAGCAACATATTTCTCTGCTTTAGGCGATTTTGTCTCGTCAGACGATAATAAGAACAAAAAACAATTACTTTGCGTTTTCATGTTCTAAGGCAGATAAACGTCCCAGATGCGCCTGCTATGCTTGCATAGGGATGTACTAAAATACTACTTTACTATGATCGTCCAGGTTACCAGGAGATTAATTAATTATTGTAAAATGTTCAGGCGACTCTCCAGTTCGGAAGACTGCGTTGCAACAGTTAATGTCTGATTGATCCGTGGAGGAGAGGGTGGATGAGGGATGGCGACCCAATGCGGTACCATACGTCAAGAAACAAATCGCCTGATGCTCTAGGTCGGCTCATACGCCGGTAGTGATGCGTTAGTGTGAGTTTTCGCAAAATGTGCCTGATGTGAAAACTGGATGCACTCGAGTACTGGTTCCCCTGAGACATTGTAGCTGATGTAGTACAGTTTAAACCCTCATTTTCTTCAAGTGCGAATGCAAAGTCCAGGCATGCGGAGTCACATAGTCTACAGGTAGCTGTAGCTTGAGTCGCAGGCGGGCAAATTAGGCATGGCCGCACAAACGCCGAAATCAGCGAGCAATCAAAAGGTTATGCGGCGGGAAATTCCAGTTGGAGGGGGGCGGCGGATTCAAGGCCATTAAACAGAAATTAATTAATTAGTTGTCCCATGCCCCTCTGAGGGTTATAGTCATCTCTGGCTAATGAATCCTATCGTGATTTAATTATCCCAGCTCTCCTCATTTCGTTTCATCTGGAAACTCGTTGGTGCTGCCAGCACAAACACTCAGGAGTGCACTTTAGTTCTTCGGAGAACTCTTGTGTCCCTTATATGCATTCACAATCTTAATCTCTTGTTACACTCCGGATTTCATGAAAACTCGGCTAGGGTTATAAATACTAGTCCGTCCGTCTTTAATACGAAAGATATAGAGGCTGACACATCAGAAATTCGTTAACAAAATGCACTCAGATCAGTAGTCCCACCGAATTACATGCAATTCCAAAGCATAATCCATTTAATCTGGTGGAATTTACAAAGCGTTTTGAACGCCGCTTCGGTCCGTCTGTAAAACCGACCGCAATCAATTACAACATATCTTAAATATGCATATATATAATGTTGGAGGGTCGCTCACCGACCGTTATGTATTATATACATATCTATTTAAAGTATGCTTACTTTGATAATTCGCAACAAATCCGGTGGTTGTTTGTCCTGCGGGTCGTCTGTACTCAATCAGCATACTTCGACTTAACGAAGCCAGCGTTGGTGGAATACTTTTTCCACAGTACCGACCTGAAAGATACAAGAGCAAATAAAAATGTTAGTACTATACCCATGTAAAACGAAAAACGGTTTGAGGTTATTAGTACTATGCTCCTCATGTAAAATACGCATATGTAACATTTATTTCCCTTGCCGTCTAAAAAAACACACTTCGGGGATTTTTTTGCAGATCGAATTATTGGAAATACCGTGTCCTGGAAAGCATCCCCAGCTTTGACCCGCTGTCCGATTCAGCGGCAATGAACTTGTAAGCTATTATTTTTATAAAACGCAATCACTACTGCAATTGTCTGGGAAGTTTAACAGAAAAATAGCCGCTAGATATTCAGCTTAGGTGTCACAGAATTTGTTCGGAAAATATGAGTAATTTTGCAGTTGCTTGCTTTTACGGTTAATGAGTAAATTGACATTTGCGATCAAGCGAAGGGGTCGGAAATCTAGTGTACATTAGCGGGAAAAAAGAAGACAGGGAATTTGGATCTATGTTTATTCTTGAAAACTTAATATCTACGATGCGACGTAAACAGTGTAACAGTGCTTATGGAGGCGTATTTCGTACTGCAAATGCCGTGAAATGATGATGCATCTTAAAGAAATTCTGCTTCCTTATCTGTCAGTGACGGCATGCACACGGATGCGGGCCTGTCGAAGGAGAACTGGAGGGTCCGAGTTGAGTGGTGTTCACCGAACAAATGCAATGAGGTTTTGCCTAAAAGTTCCGTTTCCTACAGCCCACACAAGGAAATGCAAAATTGCACTGTTTTGTGATTATTTCCGTCGCCACTTTTGAAAGCAATATTTGTACGGAGACGGGAATTGTTATAAGAAAGAAAACAGACATGAGTTCCTGTCCCAGTTTCGAGTTTCTTGGTCAGTTGGACTACCCGCACAATTTCGGGGACTTTCCATTGCAATAACATACAGAACACAACTACGAACATCCCGAATTTCAATAAGGATAGCGCGACGACAGACTTCCCACGCGAAGTCAGATATTTTTGATATCGCGGGCGAGGGTATCCGAGGTCATAACGCAATATCGGAACGGTCCATTTCCCATGTAGTGTCAGAAACCCTATGCTAGCGGTCAGGATGGTAGTCGGTAGCCCTGCCCACTGATTCTACAATTGTACCTACTGGCTCGATTTCGGTATCTGTGATAACGTTCTCATTATGTCTGGGGGGTGCACGCACAGAGGCCCTGTCAGGATGAATTTCTTCTTCACTTTAACCGCCCCGAGAACGAGGCGCTGCAAGACTGCCTATATAGACTCATTGTATAGCACCCCCACACGGAAATCTTTAGTAAAAGGCGAAAGATTTATCCTAAACGGATTATGATTCATCATGCTTCCCATTATGCTTCTAATTGCATGCGCGCACAGTATTACCTGCATCAGATTAATTGCATAGGTACTATCCTAGGCGGATTGGCGCGGGTCTCCGTTTCGTCGGTTTGCCTGCATCCTTGGGTTTTTACTCCAGACCTCCAGTAGAGTCCGGTGCGATTGTGTAGGAAAGGACAACCGACGCTCAGTTAGGGTGTCTACCGATACTCCATCCACTGCATCAGTCGTATTGACAGAGTGTTGCCCTCCACCCCCCGCCTTTACGAACAGCCCGGTTGTATTTGGTCGCAGTGGTTTGGCTAAAAACTGTGACGCCTTGTAAACGCCGCCATGACCAGTTAACGATCCTTTCCTGCACTTCCAGTTTAAGGCACTAGGACACCCCCGGGCGCTTAGACAATGCTGGGTTTAAACTGGGCGCAGTTCACCTACCACATCGCGCACTTACTATCTCATGGGTTCAGACTACAACAGCAAGGCGTCTCATACGCCAGTCAGACCCGAAGTGTTCTCCTTCCTCGCATTTTTCACCATATTTAAATTAGGTTTCCACTTTATCAGGATCGTCCATTCCAGGCATTCATTACAAGCGCCATTTACGCCTCCACTCATTTGCCCCACCCGTATAGCCCCTATTACCACCGGTCCCGTAAGCCAGGTGGCCGGGAGTTTTCGGTACCGGGAGGGCTATCAACTACCATCTAACCTGCTAGCGCTACCGATGTTCTCGGGCGAAATGTGAACACGAATGCCTTCTGCGGTAAGTTATTCAGTAGCGTTAGTTACAAACTTACTTGACTTTACCAGTAGGTCTAATCAATCAAACTACTGATGTGATGCCACCTTGGAAGAAAGGACAGACCGACTTGGAACAGCCTAGAAAATCACGCGAAGTAAGGTCACAAGATCTCATCAGTCATTTCACATACCAATCAGACGCGATTCAGGATAATATCCATCTCTGACTTCGACATACTCCTCTACGCAGTGTTGAGGGTTTTTCGGAGAAGTAGTCGCTGTCTGTGCATCATCGTTTGGCTGATTTGTGATCGGAGACATGTCCATGTGCGTGAAATTTAGGCGGATGTGTTCTCCCCTCTTTCCTATGATTCTCCACTGACAAACGAGTGCACCCGAGGAAGAAGCAGTGGTATTGGTATTGGAGTCCATGCTTGGACGCAGGGACTCCGATTGTGGAGACGCAAATGTGCCGAAGTACTCCATGAGGGTCTGCCCACAGGCTGAAAAAAAAACAATATTAGCTCGGTTATGCTCATCTAGCCGATTGTGAGAATTGACAACAAACACCACTGGGCATGAATACAGAGTATTTAAACATGTTTAACAGACGATTAGGCGAGCACTAGAAAGGTGCATTTATGTGCCCGACCTCCCTTGTCGGAGGTCTATTCTTATATCTGAATGTAAAACATACATAACGATTGGGCGTTTGCAAACAGAGTTCATGTGCAATACAACTTTCGGCGCATCTGACCAGATGGATCAGTACACACTGCAAAAGAAAGAAGGTCATTTAACCTAGGACAGTGCAAAAGCAAATCAGGATACAGAATATAGGTTGGCTTTCTTAATTGCAGTTCAAATTGCGAAACCTGCCCCAGTCACTATGAACTGCTGACATCCTTCGCAGATTAGCATACGTCGTGAGGTAACTGCAACTTAGTCGGGTCACATAGTCAGTGGAAGTTACTCAGCAACAAAGTTCCTTCGAGCGCGAAAAACCAATAAGTGGCGGCCATCTATGCACAACTCCTAGAGCAGCCACTTTAAAAATGGGTTAGAGGTAGGTAGAAAATACAAACCACCCACAGAACTGCCACATAACACACAGGAGAAAAATTCATCTGTTTGGCGCATTAAACACTCGTAAAAAGGAATTCGCCAACATGATATTCTTTGAAATAGGCATTCTTTTCTTTAATTCCATTGTGCCATATGGCATAATAGGTAACTTCCTGTAACTCTAAAAGGATACATTAAATAAGGCCTACTGAGGAAAATATAGTAGCTTGTTTTGGGTATAAAACCACCGACTGCGGTTCCGTAACATATCCTGAGCACTTTCTTTAATTTTTTGATTGCAGTTGACCCCCTGCCCCATCTCTCCGCCACATTTTTGACTCACTCGTCTAAGCCAATACATCGAACTACGCCGTTTGGGATGTAAATTTTTTGGCTATCGAACCCTACTAAGTAAAAGCTGCTGTATTTTTGAACCGAAGAGACGTTGGATAGCAAGAAACGATCAAAGACACCTGTACAGATGATATAGTTCATACAAATGAGCAGTGAATTTTATGGAAAAGCATACTGATAATTACGGTTGGCTCAGAAGAAAGACGATAAAACTCACATGGACATTTGTAGAGCTTGTTTGTCTGTCTTATATCCCCGGGACTGGGTTTCACCCACTGGCCAATTTGATGGCCGTGTGTCTTGGGTCTCATCGTCATATTCCTGCCGGGCTTAGCATTACTAAAACCGTCGTAATGCATTATTGAGTCGTAGTCATAGGGTTCATCAAGGGAATCAATTATAGAAGGGTGTTTCTTCTCAAAGTTGCCCCATGCCTCAGGGCGAATATTGTCTCGAAAGACCTCCACGTAGTCTGGTATTTATAAGGAAACAGAAGAGAGCATTGAGTGCATTCTACAAAATTTGATCCAAGTGGTGTTAACCATTGTCAAAAATAATACAACGTCGTGTCGTTTAAGATAACTACTGTCACAAATAAGCTTCCAAATCGACGTTTCACGTAGGGCTTAAACAGACTTACCCGTCTGGGCCTGCATATAGAATGAAATGGGGGTTTCTCCAATTCACATCTTAACTCAGCCATGCCAAAAGGAATATGTAAGCAACCACCGATATTCTGGAATAGATTAAGGACCACAACTACCAGCGAATACGTGAGACATCTCTAAAACGTTACTAACTGCCTTTTTAAGTGTGCATCCACTAAATATGTCTTAAAGTGTCATCCAGAAAGTCTTTAATAGTATCTGTCAAATCCCTCGCAGCTTTGTCATGCAGCAGCGGGATGTCTGCGGACACACGTCTGGCCCTTTAACTAGTACCTGTGCTGCCGACTATGGTATTCCGTGCAACCTAAGCACATATTCCTGGCTGCGCGTTGGCAGTTTATGAATATTCCGCAGCGGATTATGGACTTTGGCCCAAATATTTATTTCGAAAATCAGTCTGAGCATATAAGTAACAAGTAGAATTATTTACTTAAAATTAACGATCACCTCGGGAAAAGCTAAAAAACCGAAATTAGAAAAGCATTGTCACCAGCTGACGGGATAATTTGGACCTCGCAGTCAGCTCAGTGTGTATATGAGTGGAGAAGCGTGCTGGTGGACTAGTGGGTTCCGGGTCGTCCCGCTTTGTCCTTCTGGTATAAAAACCTGAGCAATGGGCGCTGTGGACCGGGACAAGTGGTGGTAAATCTAGGTGCGGATTTTCGCCGTGGCAGCCATTTGCATTATTACCAGCTTCCGGTCATCTCAGCTCAGTCATGAAACCAGGCTCGGGGGGAGGAGAAGAGAGTTTGATAAATGCAGCGCAACTTTGCTAAGTGAACAAGGGCGCAAGTCACCGTATTTCCCCTCGTTCTGGTGTAGAACACACGGTGGACATTATTGGAAACAACGAGCGAACATTCGGGTCGCATCCATCCTCACGTGTACTCAACCATGTTTGAAAAGAGTACACCGCACTAAAGTGTGCCACACATCTTTCATGTGAAACCGTGACGACGAATAGTTGCAACGTAAAGTTGGGAATAAAATAAGGCAAAGCCACCCGAACAAGATGTTAACGACTTGGTGAGTACAGTGGGCACCCATCTTACACAGACTTACCATCGCGATCGGGTCGGCTCTGCTCGTGATAAAACCCCAAGACATGTCCAAGCTGGTGCAAGATCATTCCCTCAGTCGCGCATGATGGTGCGAGGGAAACCGCCTGTGGTGATCCCGCGCATTTTCGACCGATGAATGAGCAGCATCTAAAGTTGCGCGAAAAAAATAACACATGATTATCACACGGCTTGTCGAAGTCTCTCTGTATAAGTGGCAGCTGGATAACTTCCTTCCAATCAAACCTTGATACTACAAATGACGTTAGGATTGTGTACTTTTGCGGAAATTACTTTTAAACGATATTTGGTCCAAAAACTCCTTAGTAGAGTCTGGTGCATGTGGATTTTAGGAAGTGGTTCGTGTAGTGAACAAGTAGACGGATTGCCTCATTTTGTCAGTTACTGCACCAACCCGCGCTTCCGGCCATCATGACTTCGTCCTGTCATAAGAGTGCGCTTACGGCGACAGAGAGAGAGAGAAGAGGGCAGATACAAGAAGAGTGTGCTTCAGTACAAACAGCATGGCTCACAAGTCAAAACCGTGCTCTTTTCGTGAGGTCCTAATCGGCCTTGTAATTATGCGATGGCCAAACTTTCAGTGCTTTGAAATTCCCCTTGAGACCATACTTTTTAATTCAAATGCACAAGTAAAATGTGGGGCTAGATCTGGTAACTGTGATTTCCACAACTGACCAACTGTTTGCCTTTCACTTTCACATATCACTTTGCGGTATACCAAGAAAAATGCAGGCAACGGTAGAGTGTAGGACCCTCAACTAACTTCAGCTAGGCGGTGGACTGTGTCATATAAGCACAGTATTTTTTACTCCGCAGTTAGTTTTAGCAGAGCTAAATAAGCTTGATCCGGCCAAGTCACCTGGACCAGATGAGATCCTAGGTGTACTCCTGCGTCAGCTAGCTGAAGAATTAGCAGAACCACTTACTATAATCTTCCAAAAATCGCTGGAAGCGGGCAAATTACCTGACACATGGATGTTTGCAAACGTCGTACCTATCCACAAGGGAGGATCACGGCTATGTCCCACGAACTACCGGCCGGTTAGTTTGACATGCATTTGCTGCAAACTGATGGAAAAAGTAGTTAAAAAATCTATTAAATCACTCGATACTTTCCGCTGTCACATCGCCTCAGTTCAACATGGCTTCTGCGAAAAGCGGTCGTGTCTCACAAACCTGCTTTCGTCACTCTAACACTGGTCAAAGGCCATGGATGAAGGACATCCATTTGATGTCATTTACTTCGACTACAGCAAGGCGTTCGATTGCATCCCACATAAGCGCCTCATTCAAAAGTTATCAGAAGTAGGGATAAGAGGAAATCTTCTGAACTGGATTCAAGATTTCCTAAACGGACGGCGACAAAAAGTCACTGCGGGCGGCTACTGCTCAGAATGGGCACCTGCTACGAGTGGAGTCCCACAGGGGTCAGTTCTTGGGCCGCTCCTATTCATTATCTACGTAAATGACCTATTAGGGGAAGTTAAATCGGAAATAGCGCTCTTTGCAGACGATCTTAAACTTTGGAGAGCGATAAAAAATGAAGATGACGTCAAGACACTACAAGAGGACGTAGAGGATTTGCACGCATGGAGCGCGAAATGGTGCATGAAATTCAACGTCAAAAAATGTGCAATAATGCGCGTAGTATCAGCGAGGCGAAGAACAAATGCATCCCCACGACATTATCTCCTGGACAATCAATCACGTAAGACCGTAGATGTGCAAAAAGATCTCGGTGTGTTCATAAAAGACGATGTAAGCGTCACCACGCAGTGTTCTAAAGTCGCTGCGCGGACAATGTCCGTTATGGGCGCGATAGGCAGAACGTTTATACACTTAAATAAAGATGTTTTTGGCAAAGTATACGGGACATTCGTGCGGCCGCACCTGGAATATGCGGTACAGGCTTGACGGCCATGGCTTCGGAAGGATATAGATATCCTTGAAGGTGTACAACGGCGGGTTACAAAGGCTGTTCATGGCCTCAAAAACTTCACGTACGAGCAGCGCCTGACAGCTTTGAACCTCTATCCCCTCCACTACAGAGGTGACCTCATAGCAACATTCCAGTTGGTAAAAGGACTTAATATGGATGTCGACTGGGAAACGTTTTTTGAAATGGCACCCAAGTCCTATCTCAGACGACATGATTACCAGCTTAAAAGGGAACTGTGCCACACAAATCAACGCTCCTCCTTTTTCTCACAGAGGTTCATTCGCCAATGGAACTTTTTGCCGGAGTTTGTTGTTAAGTCCCCTACCGTAAACGTGTTCAAGAGACAACTGGATGCTTACCTGCCGAAAGGCAACCCGAACTGCCGAAGCCTGATCTAACGGATTACTGAAATGACTATAAATATACTACTAACAAGATTTCAACAGATTATATTTTGAAAAGTCAAGTTGGCGAACGCACGTTTTCGGTAATTCTTCCTCAGGCCAATACAATTACATGAACGAATGAAAATGTACAAAATCAACAGTGTTTATAGATGCCTCAAGGGCTATTAAGTCACTAAAACTCATCATCCCCACGCCGCCCGAATGAGAAGGTCGGCGGGTGTTAGTCGTCAGAGCTAGGGGATGGGGGTAAGAGAGTCTTTGAGTAATGATCTTGGGTTGAGCACACGGAGTACCCATCATCGTGATTAGGGATTTGAGGCGGCATGGTTTCATCACTTGGGGTTGGCGTTGGCCACGGCAGCGAAAGCGCTTGTGTCAGAGTTTCTGACAGCATAACACCGGATTCACTAACCGTATAGCTACTGCCTCTGCCGTTGCTAGTATCCGTTGGCGTAGGCCTTTAAAGAAGCATGTTGGTGTCCGGTAGACAACCTGAAATGCTTTCTTGGCATCGACTCGGTGGTTCGTATAGATTAAATGCGCGAGATGAGAACTCGAAATCGACCGGCTCTCACCTCTGTCTAGCCAGGCGGGCATATGTTCACGCACCCTCTTTACCAGGCGTCTCCTTGTGCGGCCGATGTATCCTGTTCCACAGGAGCAAGTGAGTGAATAAATGCACATTGATGTGGCCTCCAACGGTAGTCTGTCTTTACCTCCCAAACGTAGGAGGGGAGAGTTTGTGAAGCATACGCGTAAATTCGCCGCAGGGAATGTCCTCGTGATAGCTGTAGTTAAGCGCCGTCGGACTAGTTCGCTCTCTGCGTCTCCTGCAAAAGGCAATCTTATGAATACATCTTTCTTTTCCGCAGTCGCAGCAGTGGGCTTTTCAACGCGTCCCCCAATATTTCGGATGATAAATCTATCTGGGTATCCGTTCTCCCGCAGTGTGTTCCGCAGCAGTTGAAGTTCTTCTTCAATAGCTTCAGGTGAGCAGATGCGTCTCACTCTAGCCACCAATCCCTGGACTAAATACCGTTTGATGTTTAGCGGAACAAAACTGTGGAAATTAACGTATTGTCCCGTCCAGGTTTTCTTTCGGAACACCCTGCGCTGGATAGACCCATCCTCTTGCTTGTGCAGAAGAACATCGAGAAAGGCAAGTTCGTTATCTGTCTCGGTCTCTGCAGTGAACTTTAGCGAGGGGTGCACATTGTTGACCTTTTGGACAAGCTCCTCGGTATCGGTGGTACCATCAGTCAGGCAGAAGATATCGTCCACGTACCGACGGAAGAAGACGAGGCCATTAATGGTCTCTTGCAAGCTTGTTTTCTCGACTTTGCCCATAAAAACATTTGCAAGGAACGGTCCAAGCGGTGATCCCATTGCCACACCATCTACCTGCCTGTATAATTGACCATTGCACAGAAATTGGACATTTTGTGTGCAAAGCGTCAGTAGTTCTTTTAGCGTTTTCACAGGCATGTCTATGGCGTAGTTCGTATCACGAATAACATCACAAAGATAGTTTATTGTTTCTGCCACGGGTACTTTGGTAAACAGCGATGATACATCCAGTGATAACATCCTCCGTCCGCCAACGTTCATATTTTTGATAGCTTCGACGAACTCAAAGGAGTCTTTTAAACTTCGAGGGTATAGGTAACTTTGCAATGGCTTTAGTCTTTCCACTA